TATCCTTCACCTCTCACCTTCTTCGGGTGTCTTAAAGGGTACAACGACCATGTGGTTTCATGTAACCATAAGAACTTTGCTTTGAGCGCACAAATATAAGCAGTTAGGGAAAGACCATTACTTCTCTGAAGGGAGGGGGTGGGGGAGAGAGGGATTCGTTTTATATGCAAACAACTTATTATTTCCTTCGTGCAGCAGCAAACAATTTCTTTGGTGGATTGTGTACAATTTATTTCGGTTTATTGCGCTTGCAAATAATTCATTACAGTGTTTTCGGTTCTGGAAACAATTGATCCAATCTTCCATTCCCCCACCCCACTTGCAAAAAGAGGATACTATACATTCGACTGGTACTCTCTGCCAGGACTTTTGGAAATGAAAACTGTATGTGAAATGTTGCCTTATTGTTGCATAAAAGCCTAATACCAAATTTATTAGGATGACCACCGTTTTAGAAAAGCAACATTAATATATTTCACAGTATTTTACCTGTGTATCACTGGTTGTCTCCTTTGAGCAGCGCACAGTCTCGCTGTAATTAGATAAACATTTCCTACATATCCTTGGAAAACCAAAATAATAATGCTATCTTAACTCGGAAGTGTGACAAAACTTATATTTTATCTCATGCTGTGTTCATTTTAAATAGTAGCCGGTATTCCGACACAGCATTATTACATTGAGTTACCTTGTCCAGTTTTGTAAAGCACACCGAAGTGTAAATATATTTTAGTCGACTGGATATCCCTCTGTACGGTTTCTGTTTGCTCTGATGCTCCGGATAATTACAAACTTTACTTGGCCGCCCTCCCAAGCCAAATTCGTTCCTTTGCTCAGGAAAAATTGTGAGATCTTCTCCGCACTCGTCGAACAATCCAACGCAGGCCAAACATAATCTACCGCCTTCCTCTACCCCTTCCCAGGAGGCTCTAAACCAACCATACAAATGCTCTTTTGTGCTGCTGGAACAATTCTTCACAATCAGAATAAAGCTAGCGCTCTTGTTTCGAGCGGAAAGGTTACATTCTTCCTTAGAATGTTCTTGGAAACAACAAACACATTTAAAATCGCCCATCTTTACGAAATGTCTGCTGGTATGGCTATACATGGAAAGCGTGGGAAATGTCAGTGTCTGTGCGTGTCAAGCAATCCGGTCAGCGCTTTACCAAAGTAAGGCCGTCGGAAAACAAAAATAGTCGAAATACATTATATTTTTATTTTGGATTTAATTGATAATTACTTTGCTTTAACCGCAAATAAATAAGTACTTTTCTTACTTAAATGGGCCTAAAAGTTGCGGTGCAATAAAAAAAAAAAACATTATAAAAAGCGACCGGGCTTCCCAAAGTATGATTTTTTGATAAGATAAAACTGGAATAAAACATGAATATGTTTTTTTTTTTAAATACTCCTAAAGATCTTCTCAAAGTTTTCCTTGCATAGACCCCTTTCATAAATTACTGCCGTATAAATATTCTTTTGTTTAAATTTAAATAAGCCCTACTGGCCTCGCTTGAGATAATGTACTCTTTTGAATTTTGTACTGGAGAACGAGGCCAGTAGGGCTAGTTTAAATTTCAACAAAAGAATATTAATCCGGCAGCCATTTATGAAAGTGGTCTATTATGGAGACAAACGAACTCTGTTTTACGATATTCTGGCACGTGTCACGTGACCTTCCCAGGCACCCCGGATTGCCGTATTTCAAGGAAAAATTCTTGATCCAAAATGCAGACATCACACACTTTTATTTTTGTAATTGCTTAGATCCTCAAATATTTAAGCTGGAAAAAGTATTGAAATGAATCAAAACCTGGCCGCTTGTTTGCATTTTCCCGCTATTTTAGAGGTATTTTCCGTTATTTCGCAAAATGAAGAAAATTGTCAAGTTTGATTGATGGCTCACAAATATAAAAACAGACAATCATATATAATTATGTTTGTACATAAAGATCTAGGTTTCTACTTTCATTTGGCGAAATATTTTTTGTTGGCTTGAGATTTTGGAGATACATCCACATCATGAATTCAGTGCATTTTTGGCATGGACTTTTTGCGCATTTTTGAACAACAACTTAAAACTAGTATAGCTCTCTAAAAAACTAGTATCTGGATAAACCGCTTGGTCTAGATTGTAGGTTCCTTGTGGTAAACAACTGAGCTAAATTTAGGCGAATTCAGTGAGGGGTCGTGTAGACTCGTCTGCATGGTGTTCAGGTGGACGTGGACACGTCCTTAAAGGGTCATTTACAGGATACTGAGAATTTAAGTCATGATTTTATAAATGGTTACATATCAGAACTAACTATTTAACGCTTTGGACAACTGATTAAGGAATATCAAATATCTTACTGGTTAAGTAACTCATTTATTTTTCTGTTCTTGTTAATATTTTTTTTTTCCATTCCTGGGCCTTGGTTCTGATAAAAACGATTAGGACGTAAGTACATGTTTTATTTTCAAATAAACCATTTGTATTTGCACGGTGCCTTAACAGTGCGTTTACGTTCGCATATTTAACTGGGGTACAGGTGTTATGTGAAGGAAGAAGATTGCACCATTTCTCAATAAACAACTAAATGCATTTGAGCTGAAGATGCGAATTTTAATTTCATTTCTATATGTTTTATTTTACATGCCACTTCTTCAATCGCTCAGCTGGTAAGTTGAAGAAAAAGTGTCTCGCGCAACCTTTATTCTTAATTTTTTTATGCTTGGGGCGAGAACTTTTTCTTAAGTGCGTAAAATCGATCCCGAAAATAGGATCACATATTAATTGCTTATTGTTTTCGGAGCCCATTTCATTAAGTGTCATATAAAAAAATTCAAGTTATTGTAACCGTATGTTTCGCACTAAAAGGAAGCATTTGATACCGAAAACTGCGCAGGACTGAGTAAAACAAACTCTGATGTGACCCTGGATTTTTATCGAAAACCCATTGAAATTACTTTTTCTCTGAACAGTACAGTTCAAGTCAATGAACTTTTCGCTGACATCCAACAATGTGTGTAAATTGTATTTTGTATTTTCAATTCAGAAATGTAACCCACCCTAGAACATTCTCACTGAGGGTTTTAGAGAGTAATTTTCCACGTCATATTCGTCTGTGGGAAATGTTAAGATAAGGCGTAAAGACTGCAAGCATAAAGTGCAAGGACGGATAACACTATCCAAACGATAAGTTTCTAGCCAGTGGATAAGCGATAGCAAAACTTTAGTTATGTTATTTACATCATTGAATGTTTATCTATTTTTCATCTCATCTTTTTCTGTCTAGACAAAAGGGAAGGTAACTATTAATATCATCCGTTCCTATAAATGTAGAACTGTCTTGTGGGTCAATATGCACATAGATTCACTGCCTTATCTCTAATCAATAGACCTCAGTCGTTAATAAAGCAAGAGAATCTGCGGGTGTACATCAATGACAAATGGCGACACCTTTTAATGTTAAAATGTAACTATGAGAACGATGTTACTGATCTGGGGAGTATTAGTAAAATATATATCTCGCAATACCTAGGTTCGGTAGTAAACGATAGCAATGTTAGTAACAGCAGGTATCAGCCATATTTGGTTGGTTACTTGCTTGATTTAGCAAATCCTGTCATCTAATTTTCTATTTCAAAATAGAGCATTCACATACCAAACAGATTGGTTCGTTCAACAGCAAAAAGTAAATGAGTTTATAAACGGATTGATAGGATTTTTCAAAATTCTTTTTCTCTCTTTCATGGCGGTCTTCCCGGATTCATAAGCGGGTGAGTACGAAGTGTTCAGTTGTTCGTCAAGCTTATGATGTGTGCAGCCAAGTAATCCAATGTTATGTTGGGTCACTTATTTCCTCACCAAATGTGAATCTTTCTTTTCATGTTCAACTAACATTCTCGTCCTACCCGGTTTAATAGATTGTAAGTAGCCATACTTGATTGAACTATCATTTAGCAGTAGACAGGATACAGTTAGTTGAACAAACGATGATTCCCATTAGAAGGATAGAGACATGATACAGTGTTTATCTAGTGATCAGTGAAAGAATGTACAACACCACTTTTTTGGTGGAGCTTTAACAGCAAAAGTAAAGAATTAAGAATCGAAACCATTAAAATCCTATTGTTTTTTTCTTTAAATATTTTTTTACAGTCATATATTTGAGCAATAGAAAACAGTGTCATTTTCCGTGGCTTGATAACATACTAAATCCTTGAGGGAATTCAAACGAGGCTTACAAATCGAGAGGAGGGTTATTTATAAACTCAAACTATTTATCTTTTCAACTTGAAGATTTTAGTTCTAATAAATCAGAGGAAACTGAGGATGTCGACGATGATAATAATTTACTTCAGTATTCTTTCTAGTGAACGGCAGATCGGCAGATTTACGCAGCAAAGGAAGAAAAGAGCAGAGGGAAAATGATTATATACGTGAAACAAGTTAACGATTTGACATTTGATTATTTTCTCACAACTTATTGTTTTAAAAGGTTGCATGGCGTGGTCATCATGGAGTGGCTGCAACGAGTGCAGAAAGAGTCGCCAAAGAGTCGGTGAGTGACAAGAGGGATTTTTTTGAATTTGTGATTCGAAAGTGCGATCGCGGGTTTCACCATTGATTTACAACTTCTAAAGACTTCATGTACACGCGCATTTAGAAGATTTTAGAAATAATGAATTCTCGTTCATAGGTTGCGATATAGACTGCAATCAAAGTCAACGGCGTTACACCATGTGCAATAGATTGAGAACCAAACATAAGCTATGAGTATGGTTAAAAAAATAACAAATGTATATTAATGATGTATTAACACGAAATTCGAAGCATTCTATGTCATTCTCGTATTTTCTTAGCTGGTAACTATCAAGAAAACCTCAGCAGTTATTTTTAATCGATGCGTTCTTTATAAAAATAAGATGACTTAAGCCCAATCGTTAATTATCTGGATAACCCTACTTGTAGAATTTAACTGCTCAAGAACTCAGGAATCACGGCCCTGCAAATGTAAGTCATTTTATGTATGAGCAGAAAGACTCATCTGCTGGCTTAAAATGTTGCACACATAACCTTTAATTTTACTTTCATTAACTTCCAAACTCTTTTTAAAGGATGAGTTGGTTTTAAAAACTGAGCTGATAATTATAGTTGGCAACCGCAAAGAGTTTCAAAGCTAACGTTTCCAGCGATAGCTCTGAGGAAGGGTTCACGCTGGCCATTTTACAGGATGAGCAGTAAATAAAACCCCCCACTCACAACATCACAATTTCTTAGGAAATTGCCCCTCCCCCCCTACACACACCCTTCCTTCCGCCCCTTTTATCTTTGCTAAACAACCTCACACGAACCGAGTCAAGAACTCTTTGCTTTTTTTTTGGCTTGTTTGTTGGTTATTTATTTATTTTTTTTTTTTTTTGCCAGAGTATTATCATTTCTGATTAGACGGTAAATTGTTTTTTTGTCCTGCATTTTTTCGGTCCATCGGAAATAGGAAAAAGCATTGCAGTAATTTTGGCGAGGAGTGCTTAGATTTTCTTACTGAAAATCGTTGCTGCCATTTATGATTTTCATAGCTGCGGCGAACGAGGAAGAGAAGGAAATTTACACTATGTCGGTGAGCGAAGTTAGAGGGAAGGAGAGGAGAGGGGAGGGGTTGGGCTTAGGCTGAAAAATAGTTTTTCCTTTTTCTTCTCTTTTCTTTTTTTTTTTTTTTTCACTTTCTCCACTGTTAACTTGTGCTTGATAATAGACTCAAGCTGATTCTATTAATAAATGAGAAGCATACCTCCTTCCACTTTAATCCAGAAAGTTGATTTCTTGCTCCCTTCGCTGTTTTTGGCGCTGCATGTGTATAGACCAGCATCTTCATATTTCACTCGATCAATCATGAGAGTATTTTTTAAATTAATTCGCAGCCCATGAACCATTCGTTTACATATACTTCATCCCTTTAGTTCAAATGCTCTTTAGGAGGTTTCCCTATACCTGAAGTTCTCTGGACTAATGATGGGTTGAATATTGGTAACAGCAACACTCTCTCGATTAATAAAGTGAAACATGAAGATGCTGGTCGATACGCATGCAGTATTGTAAACAGCGAAGGGAAAAATAAAGCAGCTTTTGAGATTATAGCTACAGGTAATTGTTTATTTAATTTTTTCTATGCAGTTGCTCTTCTCGTTTCCTGTTTTTCTTTTTCATATTAATACCGTTTTTGATTTTTACTCATTTATTCCATGGCCAGGTCCTCTTGAAATTAATCCTCAGCTCAAGAACCAGTCATTTCTATATAATTCACGCTTTCGGTTCAACTGCTCTCTAAGAGGTTTCCCTAAACCTGAGGTACTCTGGACTAAGAATGGAGTGAACCTTAGTAATGAAAACACTCTCATTATTGATCGAGTGAAATATGAAGATGCTGGTCAATACACATGCAGCGCCAAAAACAGCGAAGGGAGCAAGAACTCAACTTTCTGGATTGAGGTGGTGGGAGGTATGGTTTTCATTTATAAATAGAAACAGCTGAAGTCTATTATTAGTTTAAACTTTTAACTAGATGACAAAAAAAAGCCGATTCTAAGGTTCTAGATCAGATTAAAAGGCTTCAAACCCCATTTACATGTACTTCAAAATTGATAAAAATGATAAAAAGGAACTCAATTGATGATGGCATTTAAAGAGCGAGTACATGTCAACTGATAGAAGAGGTGTGAATTTATTTTGTATTTAGACGCATGCAGTTAGTTTTTGGGCAGTCTTAACCGATTTAATTTGTCTTTGTAGTGTCGGGGAATGTCGACTTTATAGATCTCAGCACGCCACCTTTTTTGACGTGGCATTTAATATAAATGTTCGTTTGAGATTTGAATTGACCTTCCCATCTCTCTCCTCATCAAGTTACTCGATGAATATCAATGACTGACGAGTTATTGATATTCATTCACTAAATAATACTCTATACCTGGAAAAAGTTTTGATGTCACAAGTCTGACAATTTGGTTTCATTGAGACCTGTTAGTGCCCAAGGTAATGAAACCTATTGCAAAATAAACTTGGATAAAAGAATAGAATTCAACTTTATTCTTGTTTCACTCAAAAGGGGTGGGGTGAGGATCGGCGTTAAAAGGGTTTATATGAACCCTTATTGAATCTGGATATATCAACAGAGTTGAAGTGGTAAATTGGCCACCGTAACGATTACAAAGGCTGACGTTTCGAGCGTTAGCCCTTCGTCGGAGCGTTAGCCCGACGTTTCGAGCGTTAGCCCTTCGTCGGAGCGTTAGCCCTTATTGAATCTGGTTTACTTTTAATTTCAAGTCTCTCCTCAGATCACTGAGCCTCCAATAAATCAGGCTGTTACCGAAGGATACTCTGTGAGCTTTAGTTGCCGAGCGTCAGGAATACCAACACCAAAATTAGTCTGGGTTTTTAATAATAGTGACCTACCATCTGGTGTCAATCAAACTGATCAAGAAGGAGAATCAATCCTGGAATTGCCACGTGTCACAAAAGAGATGGTGGGGACTTACAAGTGTACAGCAATAAACAAGGAAAATACAACGAGTTCTTCGGCAACGCTGCATGTTTATGGTAAGTTTAATAAAGAGAAAATAAAATTGTTAATTAGGATGAAGATGAATATGAAGATAAGGAGGGTGAAGATGAATATGAGGATAAGGAGGGTGGAGATGAGGGTGGGGATGAACATAAAGGTAAGTTTGAGATAGGAGGGAAATAGGAGTTTAAGGGTTGAACATAAAGAATGGTTACAGATTACACATCACCTCAATTATGAACAGATGTGTACAGGCAGAGAGAGGTGTTATAGGTCTAGTTCTTGTTTGAATTTTTTTTAAAGTCTGAGGAAGCTTAGGAGTAAATACGGGCGAAATCTATCCTAAATAATTATGTCCGTGAGACTGACATAACTTACAGGGCTAAGATTTATAACTCATTATTTGACTCCAGACCTTTAAAGAGCCCACTGTTTTGAATCTACTTCAAGTAGTGGAGCTATCGTCTGTTGATTAACACGAAACACTTGAAGATATCTATTGTTCATCTTAGCTGAGACATTTTCATGAAGATATTTCAGGTCCAGGAGGATTAAAAGGGATTGAGAAAAAAAGGCGAGACTCAAAAGCCATTCTTGCATATGGTACAAAATTTGAAAATCTTGACGAGTTAATGGGAAAAAAAGAAAGCTTCTTTTATTCCCAAGTGAAATCTGAAGTGAAATTGCGATGAAATATTTGAAATAATTCCATAGGATATTTACTTGTCATCCAACTATACACAAAGTTAATTTGTGATTTTTAACTCGTAATGAGACGCAGTCAATTAAGATTAAAAATCTCACAGGTTTGATCGTAGGGTCACAAGAGCTTTTGAATCTAGCTACCATTCTGATATAATAGAAAGAAACTCTGTGCAGTTTAAGTGACTCAGGATATTAATGAGAAAAGAGGAAGAGAATATGCGACATTGCCATGAACATAGTTTAGAAGCTAAAACTAATAGAAATCATTCACTTTCCCAGTTCATACTAGGGCCCTTGGTAAAGATTTTATAAGTTGTCGTTTCGACTATTGAAGCAGCACCAAAATTTCCAGAGAAAATTACCTCCACCCCCCTCCCTGACCTCATGTATCTTTGTAAAGCAACCTAGAGCGCTCAATTTCCCAGTCGGTACTGGGGCCCTTAGTAAAGATTTTATATGTTAACGTTTTGACGATTGACGCAGCACGAAAACTTCTATAGAAAATTAGCTCCGCCCCCCTCCCTCACCACATTTACTTTTGCAAGTAACATGACGTGATGAATTATGAAACCTTTTTTTTTTTTTGTGCTAGAGTTTTTTTTTTCCAATTACATAATAGACTTTTTTTGCCGTGCAAGACAAAAGCAAATTTTGTGATTTTGGCGAGCGAATGCTTAGTGCTTTCTCAGCGAATATCGGAGCTGCCATCTTTGATTTTTACAGTAATGGAGGACTAAGAAAAGAAGGAAACTTGCTCCGAGGGGATGAGCGACAGTTAAAAGGAAGTAGAAGAGAGGGGATGGGCTGTAGTTGTATTTCAATTATTAGCTTCCTTTTTACTAAAGAAAAAAGAAAAAAAGTGAGGTCCCACTGAAATCATTATCGGCGAGAGAAGTCTGTCAAATGAGAATCAACAATTCAAGTTCAATGCTTGCAATGTGAGGACTTTTCCTTAATCAGACGTAGCTTAGAAAAAAGATTGAAAGTTATTTGACACCCGCAACCTGCTCAAGATTAATCGAGTGAGCTATGAAGAAGCTGGCTAACGTAGAATATACATGTAGCACTCTAAAGCAGCGAAATGAAACTGATTCACTTTTATTCTCTAGATATTATTATTTCCCTATTTTCTTGCCTTTTATTTTCTCCTCTGTTAACTTGTGCTTGTTAATATTATATCCAGGTCCTCCTGAAATTAATCCGCAGCTCAAGAACCAATCGTTTCCATATAACTCATCTCTTGAGTTCAAATGCTCTGTAGGTGGTTTCCCTATACCTGAGGTACTCTGGACTAAGGACGGGTTAAATATTGGTACCAGCAACACTCTCTCCATTAATCGAGTGAAATATGAAGTTGCTGGGCAATACGCATGCAGCGCTGTAAACAGCGAAGGGAAAAAGAAAGCAGCTTTTGAGATTATAGTTACAGGTAATTGTTTATCTAATTTTTTCCATGTAACAACAACAAACATATGAAACATATGTGTGAACTGCGGTTATGAGACGTATATGAGAACGATCCTTCGCAGTAAAGCACTATTTGAGCAATAGTGAAAATCAGACCTGAAAAAAAATTTTTTCAGGTCTGATTTTCACTATTGCTCAAATAGTGCTTTACTGCGAAAGATCGTTCTCATATACGTTTTTCCATGTAGTTGCTCTCCTCGTTTTCTGTTTTTCTTTTTCATATCAATACCTTTTTTGAATTTTGCTCATTTATTCCATGGCCAGGTCCTCCTGAAATTAATCCTCAGCTCAAGAACCAGTCATTTTTATATAATTCACCCCTACGGTTGAAATGCTCTCTAAGAGGTTTCCCTAAACCTGAGGTACTCTGGACTAAGAATGGAGTGAACCTTAGTAATGAAAACACTCTCATTATTGATCGAGTGAAGTATGAAGATGCTGGTCAATACAAATGCAGCGCCAAAAACAGCGAAGCGAGCAAGCACTCAACTTCCTGGATTGAGGTGGTGGGAGGTATTGTTTTCATTTATAAATAGAAACAGTTGGAGTCTATTATTAGTTTAAATTTTTTAACTAGATGACAAAAAAAGCCGATTCAAAGGTTCTAGATCAGATTTAAAGGCTTCAAATCCCATTTATATGTACTTCAAAATTGATAATAATGATGAAAAAAGAGTTCAACCAATGATGACATTTAAAGAGCGAGTACATGTCAACTGATAGAAGAGGTGTGAATTGATTTTGTATTTAGACGCATGCAGTTAATTTTTGGGCAGTCTTAACCGATTTAAGTTGTCTTTGTAGTGTCGGGGAATGTTGACTTTATAGATCTCAGCACGCCACCTTTTTTGACATGGCATTTAATATAAATGTTCGTTTAAGATTTGATTTGACCTTCCCATCTCTCTCCTCATCAAATTACTCGATGAATATCAATGACTGACGAGTCATTGATATTCATTCACTAAATAATACTTTATACCTGTCAGAATTGAAAAGTCACTGTTTTTCCGAAGCCTGCTTGATTAGTGCAGAATATTTTTCAAGTTTGAGTATTATCCATCCTGGTATTTTCCGCGAACGGACACTATGGGCTGCTAGTGTCTCTCCCCGGATGAACACTATTGCGTCACGTGATCAATTTAAAGAAATAAAAAGCGGCGAAAATTTGGTGGTGAACTATACGAACTTATAGAAACTGGTAATCTTGGGAGATGGTTGCATGGCTTGTTGACATCACACCTGTTACACCTACTAGCCTTTAAGAATTAACTAAAAAATGAATGAATAGATAATAAAATTATCATCACTCCGTAATTTTGCTAATATAGGAAATATTTAAGGCAAATTAGAAAAATATATTGCTTTAACGTCACATTGGGCTGGGCTATGCCTACCTTTATCAAATGTGATGAAGAAAACTGATTGCGAAATAACTTGGATTAAAAATAAGTTTGAGAATTACGTAGTTTGATTTTATTTTGAATTGAGCGGGAGGGGAAGGGTGGTGTTAAAATAAAATAGATATTACGACTCTGTTTAACTTAGTGATCTTTTTACTTTAAGTCTCTCCCCAGCTCATTGCGCCTCTGACGGACCAATCTGTTACCGAAGGATACCCTGTCAACTTTAGCTGCGTCGCCTCAGGTGTTCCAACACCAACATTTGTCTGGGATTTTAATAATGGTGACCTGCCATCTGGTATCCATCAGACTGATCAAGAAGGAGAGTCAGTGCTGGAATTGCCACGTGTCACAAAAGAGATGGAAGGGACTTACAATTGTACAGCAAAAAACAAAGAAAATACAACTAGTTCCTCTGCAGCGCTGCGTGTTTATGGTAAGTTTAACATAAAAAAATATAGAATGTTGTTAATTAGCATGAGGATGAATATGAAGATGAAGATGTTAGATATGAATGTGGAGATAAAGATAGAGATAAAGATAAAGATAAAAGTGGAGAGAAAGGAGGGAAACAGGGCTCAAGGGTTGTGCATCTAGACTGCTTCTAGACTACACATAACTTTAATTATGAACTGATGTGTACAGGCAAAGAGACTAAAAGATGGAATAGGTATAATCCTATTGAAGTTTCATTATCATCGAAGTTAGAATCTTCTTACATTTGAGTAAGCTCAAGAGTCAATACGAACGAAGTCAATCCTTTTAACAATTTCTTTAAGCTTATTACATTACGTAGGGATAGGATTTGTAACAAATTACTTGAAGGAATCCGCTATTTGAGTGAACTGAGTAGATCTGGAAAGATTAATAAAGCAAGGAAAAACTATAAGTAATGGCGCTATCGTCTTTTGATTAATGAGCTTTCTACATCTTAAGTGGAAAATTTATTGAGCAAGCCTCCCGGTTAGCTCAATTGGTTAGAGGGCTGGACTGTTGTGCGGGAGGTCGGGGTCGATGTTTCGAGCCCCGGCCGGACCAGCATTCAAGGTCTTAAAATAACTGAGGAGAATGCGCTACCTTTCTATATCAAGAAATGGATAGACACTCTAGTCTTCTCGGATAAGGACAGATAAACCGTAGGTCCCGTCTCCTGCATCTATTAGTTAGTCAATTTGGTCAGGCAGGGGACGTTAAAGAACCCACTCACGAGATTACTGTGATGTGGTCTGGCCTGTTTATTGGGAATTGGGGGGAGGGGGCATCTTAAAATAAGTTTCTTTCGATTGTTTGTAAACTGCTGATGCAGTCCGGCCAAAGTCCCCCGAAAAGTGTTGTGATGCGCATTTGATCATAACCACATGTTAATTTGCGCAATATAAATATTAAATTATTACGTATGATGGACGATCCTCGCAGTAGATAGCGCTATTTGAGCAATAGCGAAATTCAGACCTGAAAAAAATCAGGCCTGTACGGGACTCGAACCACTGACCTCTGCGATACTAGTGCAGCGCTCTAACCAATTGAGCTAACAAGCCAACTGAGAGCAGGCCGTTAAGTTGATTCGTAATGAACCCGTGAAAGTGATAAATGAGATAGAATAAATATATGAAAATCATATATTTTGAACTGCGGTATTTGATACGTATGATGGACGATCCTCGCAGTAGATAGCGCTATTTGAGCAATAGCGAAATTCAGACCTGAAAAAAATCAGGCCTGTACGGGACTCGAACCACTGACCTCTGCGATACTAGTGCAGCGCTCTAAACGTCCATCATACGTATCAAATACCGCAGTTCAAAATATATGATTTTCATATATTTATTCTATCTCATTTATCACTTTCACGGGTTCATTACGAATCAACTTAACGGCCTGCTCTCAGTTGGCTTGTTAGCTCAATTGGTTAGAGCGCTGCACTAGTATCGCAGAGGTCAGTGGTTCGAGTCCCGTACAGGCCTGATTTTTTTCAGGTCTGAATTTCGCTATTGCTCAAATAGCGCTATCTACTGCGAGGATCGTCCATCATACGTATCAAATACCGCAGTTCAAAATATATGATTTTCATATATTTATTCTATCTCATTTATCACTTTCACGGGTTCATTACGAATCAACTTAACGGCCTGCTCTCAGTTGGCTTGTTAGCTCAATTGGTTAGAGCGCTGCACTAGTATCGCAGAGGTCAGTGGTTCGAGTCCCGTACAGGCCTGATTTTTTTCAGGTCTGAGTTTCGCTATTGCTCAAATAGCGCTATCTACTGCGAGGATCGTCCATCATACGTATCAAATACCGCAGTTCAAAATATATGATTTTCATATATTTATTCTATCTTATTAAGTTATTATTATTATTATTATTATTATAAACATTCAAACGAAGATATATTCTCCTACGGAGATATCCAGGAAGTTCATAGTAGAGCAGGAGGATTTGAAAAGGAAAGCGAAACTCAAAAAACATTTTTGTTTGCGTGTGATACAAAAATTACCAATGTTAAGAGTAAGTGAAACACAAAAACCTCCTGCATTCCTGGATCGGTTCGTTTCCATATTGCTGTTTATCTGTTTGTTTGTTCGTTTGTTTTGTGTGGATACTGCAGCTGTAATTTCAAAGTGACTAAAGAATTTTAATCAATTTTCTCTCTCATAATGTAGGAAAAGCCTCTGCTCAAGTTGTTCCAGAAACACATCCAACACTCACATTAGGAAAAGTCCTCACACTGACCTGTAAATTCAACGAGGAAACCGTAAACATAACATGGAAAAAGGATGGAGAATCATTACAAGAGCGAGCTGTCATAGATACCCGGTTAGATGAGGGAAAGAGTAAACTTGTTATTACTGAGGTTGTGGAAGAGGACAGTGGTGAATACTCTTGTGAAGCAAGTAACAAGGCAGGAACTGTAGATCGCTATTCTGTAACATTGGACGTAAAAGGTAAGCGGGTGTGACTGCAAGGCCATTGCTGTAGACGAAAACCTCGACTTTCTATGTTCCTAAACTTTTTAATTTTTCTTTTTTTTTTTCATCTTCTTGAGACGAAAATCATCAAATCAAACGAAGTTAAAAACAGTAGCAGCATCTCATACGTGGAGATGACTATATTATTTGTTATGATGATATACTTTGTATTTCGGGTACTTTTCCAATTTACATTTATATTTACACGGAATTTTTAACCACTCTAATAGCAATCTCACCATAAAAAATTAAGAAATAAAAACCTTTAAGAAAGAATCGACATTTTTTTTGATATCCGAGCTACCCCTTAGATATCTCTCGGTTTTTAATTCTTTGTCAAGTGCATGTCATAGTCATTGGAGGCGTCTTGTATTTGTCCTTACCGAACTACCCACCGTCGAAATCTTTCCAAAAGAGCCACCTTCCATATTGGAAGGGGGGCACTCAAATTGAGTTGCTTATTCCAGAAATCACAAACTGTAACCTGGAAAAACGGTGGTACCACAAAAAATCAATACGCAATAGTCAACCTATCCCTCTCTCCTTCCGTCAATAGACAAATTATTACGCTTCTTCGTTCTTTTCTTCTTTTTATAATCTATCTGCCTCATTCTGCCAAGACAAATAGATATATAATTCGACCCCTCTAACCTTACTGAGAATTGAAGACACTGGTTGCCTTTGTTATTAAACTAAATCGCTTCCTACGTGAAATGCAGCAGCCCCAGCAGCTCTTTCCAGCAGTTCACTGGAGTGGTACTACATTGGCGGACCTGTGGCTGCTGTCATTTTCCTGCTGGCTCTCAATGCATACATCAAAAAACGCCGTGCGACAGGTAAAAGGAACTTTAAGGAGGTGCCATAGGTTACCCCATGAAAATAAGATGTTTTGATACGGCAAAGTGTGGCTTTTACATGTCAATGTTTAAGGTTATAAAGGAGCTATTTTTATCAGGTCACATTCTGCATTTCCAGAACTGACATCGAACGTCACTTTTCATTACCCGCAAGCCCACATGCTAATCAAATCACATAAAGGTTATAAACTATATCCAGCTAGTTATCATGGGAAGCCACCTTATTCCAGCAACACTGTAGACCTTAGCAATTCAGCCTATGCTGCTATTAAGGTATCGAATCATTCACTTTCACTTTCACTATTCCTTTTTAGTCTTAGTCATATTCTAAGATAAGTTAAATGTCATCTATAAACGAGTCGTAGGCTTTGACTAAGTTAATGATGTCATTCTTGCTCACGACGAAGCTATTTCTTCCATCTTGTTCCACATATCCTTGGAAAATAGCCTGGCAAGAGGTGCCCAGCAGGTTGAGGTTAGTAGATGTTTTGTTTTTGATGGTTACTTTGAGTATGTTGTTATACCCGGGGTTTGTAACTTTTGAAGAAGTGTGTGCAGAGAATTGTCGATCGCCACTGTTGAGAAAATTGTGTCGCATTTTACCTTGAGCCTTTTTGAAGACCCATTTTATTTACTTGTTTAATTGGTTTTATACCGATTCCTATTTGTAAACAACACGTTTGATGTTGGTTAGCAATTTATTTACCAACCATTAAACAGGCACGTGAGAGGCACGGTATTCAAACGACGTGAAATTCAAAACACCAAGTCGGCACATAGTATCTGCAGATTCCACATACTGTATTCATTCCGTGCTTTTTTAAAAAATACAATCTCTGGTACTTGGATGATGTGGCACGGGCTCAGTGAGTAAACTAGTATCCAAATTTCACCTATTTGAACAACTTTCCATCGGCAAACGAGAATTGTATGACGGGCTTAAAATAAATTATTTCATAGACCCTTGCATGGATGCCTTTTTATGTAAAATCAGAGCTAAACTCATAGATATAAAGACAGATAGGTAACAAACATAGTT